AAAATGTCTTACTTTGGATAAAGTATGCTATGTGGGACATCTATCCTCTCATTTCGTTCGACCTGCATCTTTCGATTTCTGAAGTTTTGCCTATATTTTTCCATGCCATCATTAACGACGTTTTCAATAGTCAAGTTAAGTAAAACACGTTAATACGTCTTTTATCTTGCAGTGTGACGCGGTTACGAGTAGCGGTGACAAAAAGCCGAAGGTATTCTCATACAATGTCGTTTTCGAGCCAAATGCCACGCAGGAGGATATCCTGCAGTACTCCGGTATTAAAAATCTCATCGAAATGGCGGTGGAAGGCTTTAGCTGCACCGCGTTTTGTTACGGACAGACTGGAAGTGGCAAAACGCATACCCTGACTGGACCTCCGAGACTCGTAAGCGAAGAAGAGAAGTCACCACTTTGTTATGGATATTTTCAAAAATTATTTTCAACTATGTGATTTTTTTATTTTGAGTTTAGCAATAATGTAAAACAACAAATTCTCATAATAACGTAGATCCCATCCTAAATATTAATTTCCATATTTTTGAGTCTTTCGAAACAATAACAAAAGAAATCGTAAGTTAAAATTATGCGAGGTGCTTTTTTAATCGTATCGCAGCATACATTCGTCCACATAATGCAAAAGACAATGCGATACGTAATATGGTGACGTTAGTGATCAATATCTATATAGCTAGTCAGAAGGTTAAAGTTGATTGTCTTTCGTAGATAAGATAATGCGTTCAAGTTACACGTAACGTCTCTTCTTGCAACTAAACGTAACAATAAAATTTCGATAGGTCATATCTAAATAAAAAACATTTTTTAAATAATCAATAAAAAGTACGTCTAAAGAATAAATAAAGAATTGTATATAAAAAATATCTTGCTGAAATTATTTTTTGCATAAAAACATACAAAGAATTCGAAAATGTACAAAAAAAAGGAACAAAAATTTCATTTTGTCATCCAATTATTTGAATTGATAAAAATTTAAATTAATAAATTAAGTTATTTATAATTATTAATTAATTTATTTATTTAATAATGAGAAAAGTTAAATAGAAGCTTAAACTTATACATGAAATCAAACTGTGAGATTAAACTGATTCATATTTTAACATTATATCTTTTGATGTTTATAAAGAGTTAAATTTAATCATTTTTTATAACAGTTCGACAAAATGGATCCGTACTCGGAGGACCACGGTCTGGTCTTCCGTTCCTTCGTCTACCTATTCAAAGTCCTTCAAGAACACGAGAAGTGTAATTTTGTGCTGAAGGCTTCCTTCCTGGAAATCTATAACGAGAAGGTCTGTCTTTAAACGAAAACATATCGTTCAAATAGACAATACATAAAATATAAGCGTATATTTTGAAATTATTATAAGAAAATATTAGTTTTTTGTTTCATTTTATATGTGTAAAAAAAGTTATTATCATCATAAAAAGTAAATTTTGTTCTAAAACTAGTAATTTGCAAATAAATGAGTATGAATAAATATATAGGTGATAGATCTCTTAAATCCTGGCACTTCGAGAAAACCTTTGGCAGTTCGGTGGAGTAAAAAGACGCGCGGATTCTTTGTCGAGAATCTCTTCACAGTAGAATGTGAGGAACTGGACGATCTTCTAGCGGTTCTCGAAGAAGGTAAGACTAAAAAATCAACGATTTCACCATGGAAGTTATAAGATTCCATATTTTGTAAATTTTTGAATTATTTTCATATGACTTTCTCTGACATCATAATTTAAAAAATCTAAGATTATTGTGTATTTTTTTTTAATTGGTATTTATTTTATCTAACAGTTTTATGGAATTCCATAAAAATTCAGTTTTTGTTATTCTTATTCAGAAATTGGAAATCACAATTATAAAATGTTGTTTATAATAATTGCTGTTTTTGTAGGAATGAGAAATAGATCGATCGGTACGCACAATATGAACGAATATTCTAGCAGAAGCCATTCGATTTTGACTGTAAATATAACTTCAGAGCAAGCAGTAAGTACATACGATATTTCGTTGTTCTTATTCATATTTCCCTTGGGACGAAGATGAAAATACGCTCAAAGATAAGCGTTGAAAACATCAGAATAACATATCGGATTTTCTGCTGCTTATTAAGGCTAATAAAAATTCAATTTATTTCATCGCCATTTTGCGTCGTGTAATCATTCATATACATTAAAAATTAATATAATAGATATATACGAAATGATACTCATCTTTCAACAAGGCAAAATTAATTTTCTTTATCACACTGACTAATTTATTTTACCATATATATCGCTATTTCTCGCCGACTGATTCAAATTAATTTATAACAAGGTCTAATATAAGCATTTCTCGATAGATGGAGAACGGTGTATTCATCTCAAAACAAGGCAAAATTAATTTCGTGGACCTTGCTGGAAGCGAAATGACGAAGAAAACCCAGAGCGAGGGTAAGACCTTGGAAGAGGCGAACAATATTAACAAAAGTCTCATGGTTTTAGGTGAGTGCGTATCCTAATTAATTATATCGAGCTACGTATAGAAAATTATCGTTTCTTTAACTCAAAATATTTTTCGATATTCAAATTGAAGGAACGACGATTTTTCTTACATAACTCAACACTTAAAATATATAAAACTTGCGGAATTTAACATTTTTTTATGTTATGACTGATACTATGTAAACTTATTTTTTTGTTTCTGTATTGGACTGCATTATATCATAACTTTCTATCTCACTTTTACCTTCAAATATATATTTCATTTTATAACAAATGTATACTAGTTCAGCCACCAAAGAACAGCCTTCTTATAAACTATAATAAATGAAATTGCGTCACACTTCACTATCATTTTACTATAAATAGCGATAATAATTTATTTATCAGAAAATTAGATTAGATCTTGACTTTGAAATTGCAGCACGCGTTTATTATTTAGAATAGTTGAAGTAATCGATAGCTAGACTATTAAGTTACTGACATGTGAAAAGACGTGTCTTCCATATATGGAAAATAATCGATAAACTTTCGCGATTACGGTCGTGAAACAAAATAATAAGAAGTTTTTCGCAAAAAGTCTTCCCAGGTAGTACATGGTTTTCATAAAATCATTCGAGGAAAGCACGATACTTTTCATTTATAATTTCACCAGGTATCTATTAAATTTGACTTTCTCTCGCAGAAGGATAAATATCACTTCTATATTTTTCATAGGATACTGCATTGCTTCCTTGAGCGATGGAAAACGGAAAAGTGGTCATATTCCTTATCGAGACAGTAAATTGACAAAGCTTTTGGCCGACAGCCTTGCCGGAAATGGCGTCACATTAATGGTGAGTTGATAAGCGGATTTTTGTAACAAATCGATTAGCGATTGATAACGATTCCACAAAAACAATATCAGTATTCTTTACGCGATAAATGGTGTAAATTCCAATTCACTCAGCTTTTGCAATTGTAATTTTATCTTAAGAATATCATAATTACGTGTTCAGGTTGCCTGCGTTTCACCAGCTCGTTCGAATGCCAACGAAACATTAAATACCTTGAGATACGCCGCGAGAGCCAAAAAGATCGCCACGAAGCCTATTATAGTGATGGTAAGATCACTAAGATCATTTACTTCGAGCGGATTTTCGAAGGGATTTCTAAATGCCTGACACTCATTTCTTAACAGGATCCACGCGAAGCTCTTATTCTCAGTTTGAAGCGTGAAGTAGGGGCTCTTCAGACCGAAAATGATCATTTAAGGATGACTCTTCATCTCAGTAACGAAGCTCAAAATATGCATCGCAGCGAATCGAAAAGTATTATTAGCATATACGTATCTCATTATGCATTTTTTATCAATAATATCACAATCATCGATATATAGTCCATATATATGTCTATACTTACGTTAGAAATAATTTGAATTATTGGCGTAATTTTAAAACAAGAGTAAAAGAAATAGGAATTTGTTTTGCTAATTGTTTGTATCTTCTACGTATAACAATTTTTTCAAAAAAATCTTAATCTCTAATAAAAAATGGAAAATTAATAAATCAACAATTTAATCAAGTGAATAACGAAACGATGTACACAAAAATAATATTTTAACAATCTCATGTTTTATTGTAAAATGTGATAGTGATGAATAGATTAAAGTGCTACTTTCAAAGATTAGGACTTTGATTTTGCAGAATAATATAACTAATTCTTGTATTTCTTTTTTTCTGTTATCCTCATCGTCGGTTTGTAGGCGAAAGACTGATACCTGTGACACCGCCACCGGTGGATCTCGAGAAATTAGCCGAGATGGAGAGTTCGGAACTAAGCCAATTGATTCAAGCGTACATCACCGAGAACGAGGCATTACGACGAGAGAATGCGGAGCTCTATGCCACGCGAGACCAAGTGATACGAGATCAGGAACTCGTTTGCCGAGAAAACGAGAGGCTACTTAAGAAACTTGAGGACGTAAACTTGTAAGTCGGAATGATATTTCCAACGCGAGTATTCAAAAATAAATATTTGAAACATGTTATTATTAATGCTTTCAAACAAATATTCAAAACATATCTATATTATTTTTTTGGCCTTTCTCGTGTCATATTATATTTCAATCAAATCTTTTAAAAATATTCTGTATAGCTCTATAAATATGCTTCTTTCGCAGTATCAAATGATGTATATTTAAAAAAATTTAAGAGTATCAAGCGAGCTTATACAGACTACACTACGTATTTCATGTATAAAATGTTTTAATGAAATTATTGATTCAAATAGTTCTATTTAAATTTTTTCTCTCTAAATTCATATAATGCGATTCGACTCTCCTAGTTACTTTTTTTTTTTAATTTAACGCTTTGCATTTCGCGAATCTTTATAATAACGTAGATGTTTTCTAATATTAAATTTTAGATATTTTCTGACATTTTACAGAGTTTGCTGCCGATCGCCTATAATACCAGCGAGACCTTCATATTCGGCGGAATTATTTTTGAATGATAACAATGAAGACGTACCTGGTGCGACTAACGTTTGGACGAATCCGAATGCTGCTCCCAGTCCGGTATATTCTTTCCCAAAGGTACAATCGAAGTCCACCTGGAACGATAATTTGTATTTGATGAAGGAATTAAATTACACTAAAAGAAAAGTTATTGGTATTTGTGTATGAAAAAAAAAAAAACAATTTTGTAGGTATTTAAAAATTTAGATAGATCTAAAAATAATTTTATTGAATCATCAATAATTACGTAGGGAACTCAAACGTATAATAAGCAATACTGCAAAAGTTTTAACATTCCAGCAAGTAGTTTAAATATCTTACATAATTATTTGGTAGATTAATAAAATTATTTTCAAATCTATATCTAGCTTTTTAGATTTTGCTTCAGCAAAACTGTTGTTTCCGTGATTATAATTACGTGGTGCCATAATTATTATAGAGTTATTATGTTTAAATATAATCATTATTACTATTACTATATAGTATCCATAATTATGATATCATGTAATTATAGTCACAAAAATAAGAATTTTTTTCTCAACGTATTCATTATAATAATGTGTGAGATTAGTTCTCGTTAGATTAAAAGTTTATTAGACATCACTGTGTTTTAAAAGAAATTTAAGACTTCATCCAATGTTATTATTACATAATATGTTAATTATATATAATATTCTCAGTTATGCGATATATATATTTTTCTAGCATACTCTTGGTAGCGGATTGTACATATCATCCGGTAATATGCCAGAGAAGGTATTGAAAGAGCTCGACAAGCGCAGGATTGTCGGTAGTTACAATAACATTGCCGAAGCCTACAAGGACAAGAGCAGTCATCGTCGACACAATTCGTGGGACAACAGTAATCGACCTATGATCAGCCCGGAGCAAAGAATCTCGCCAGTTGATATAAATCAGTAAGTGGCTTGATTTAAAATTAAAAATCTCTACCTAAATAATTCATCGTTTAATCTAATGAATAAATTTTAATACATAAACCTTTACTTACAATCGTTATATTATTATTATTATTATTATGATTCAATATAATTATTTCTTGTAGTATAATTATTTTGCTATAGTACTATAGTATAATATGTTTTTGCAAAAAATTTGCTTAACTAGTTTTCTCTGATTTCATTATTATATTATATTTTTACATAATATTATAGTTTATTTCAAAATGATATACATAGTATAATATATATAATATATTTCTTTTTTAACTTAAAAAAAATATTTTCAAATATATTTCTTATGTGATTCTTTGAATGAATGTACATAATTATACTTCAAGCTTGTAAGAAGCTAACATTGAATGACTGTATCGAATTGCATCAAACGTGATACTTAGCAAACATCTAAACTAATAATATTTTAATTTAAAAAATGACAGAAAAAGTCTTCGTCTAATTGTAAACAAAATACGTTTGTCATTGAAAAATTTTACAATCAATTTTTAAGAAATTCTGAATTCAATTATATATGAGCCATTTCGACTTTAAAAATTTGAGACAAGAATTTTCCGAGTTTCATCTTGTCGAGAACATCTTGTCTTAAGAAAAATTAATTTAAAAATGGAATAATAAGACGTTAGACAATTCTCACATGCAAAGAAAGGTCTTTATTCAAATTTAAAAAACTTAAAAGACCTTTGACATCTTATGTCCTGATTTTGAGTTTTCTGTTATCTGGATATCGTTTTCTGAGATATCACGTTTGACGCTTGCCACCCGTACGCCCCAATCCCGGACAAAGCCGGCTAAACTAACCAAAGGCACACGCGGTGACAGTCAAGGTCAAAGGACGACCTTGCGACGCACCTCGACGGTCCCTGAGGAGGGCAAGCCTCCGCCGTCGAGGTCGAGATCTAGATCGAGGTCGAGATCGAACGAATTGCTAACTACGGACAGCATCACCACCACCACAACCACCACCTCCACCACTACGACCGCCACCAATGTCGTTTCCGAGATACATGCCGAGCAATTTAACGGATCGCCTGATTCGATCCTGAGCGGTTCTCTCGAGGAGGGCGGCAATTCTGCTCCCGATTCCGCGGACTCGGTCGCTCCGACCGCCCCCTTTCCGCCGATATCACACTCGCCATCATCTTTTGCGGAACCGGAACCGCAGAATCGGAAGTCACGAGCCAGTACAGGAAAGGACAGGAGGAGCGCCGAGGGAAGGATCCAGGATGAGCATCGGGCGTTCGGTAGTCCTATCCCCGCCGACGACGACGACCCGCGATTTTGAGAATCTTTCGACATGGGAACGAGATCCCGACGGTGATGTTGCTTCATCTTGAAGAAGCGCAATTAACATGCAAAAAAAGAAAGACAATCTCGCTCTTTTTGTTGTGAGGAACATCGAGTGACGTTTGACACACTAATCATATATACGATTACTTATATAATTGTAACTGTAACATACACCTCTACACACACGTCAGATAAAGTCTTTCTGTTAGTTTATATAAATCATCTCTGTCGAAGATCTCTAAAAAAAGCGACGCGAGTTGTACAGAATAAAATATAGATAAGGTAAATTTGTGTAAAAGGTTGACTAATTAAAGCGGATTGAAAGAAAGTTTTTGCGTATAGATCCGTGCGTCCTTTTCCCTTATATCTTTTTTCAGAACAATTTTAGATATCTGTATTTTAAATTAACATTCAAAATAGATGTGACACATTTTACGATACCTGTATTTTAAATTAATTAACATTTATGTATCCTTTATTGAGAGTTCTCTAAATCCTTCAGCATAGCAGAAGCGCGTTAATGAAAAAAATGGCGCGTTAACCGTTTTCTTATGGACCATCTCAATTCTTATTCGATAATAAGAATCGCTTCTCGAACTTTTAGGAAAGTATGTCCAGGGTCGTCATTTTGCTGGTTTGTTGCCGCTCCTAAGGCTCGTGATTGACAGACATTTGGCGACTGATTGTGAAAACGCAAAGCCCGCGCACTTGGTGTTTTCCTTCGCAAACTCTTTTGAACTGCTTCGACTCGGAATCGGAGCATTAGGCACGTCGTCGCGAAATACGCTCTCCGATTGGCCGACGAGTATTCTCGATCTCTCGCTGCGCCACGACGCGCGTCACGTGACGCGTCGCCGCGAACTCGTGCCGTGATTGGCACTCGCGCTTTGCCAACATCCGCACGAACGTTTGAAAATCAATTACACATCGCGTTGTTCATTCCTACCAATTCTACCAATGTAGATTAATTTTAATCTCGGTTTTACCTTACTTTTTACTTTTTTTTTCTAGTTTTCCAAGCATTAGAGAAGATAAACAGTAAGTAAGCCAAGATTAAAGTTAATTTAAATTGATAAAAATGGGATATTAGCAATAGACATTTAAGACGACTTTAGTCAAACTTCAATTAATTTAATCAGCACTATTTTATTAAGTATAAACAAAACTATCAATTTAATAAATGTTTATTATGTTTAATGTATTCTAAAAAGATTAAAATAAACTATATATTAGAGAATTTTACTGGTCGAATTAACCGCCGATCAAGTTAATTGGAGTTTGATCAAAGTCTTTACTTTCCATCTTGAAGTAAAAGCTTGTCTATATTAGTAAAAAAAAAATTTTTTAATAAAATTAATGCATCGTGAGGTCATTCACTTAAAGGAATACGAAGACTTTCTTTCATCTAACGCACGTAATTTTGATTTGGACAATTACAAAACCAATCGTTCTTATACAATCATAGAAAAGACAGTAGCAATTTGCATTTTTCAAATTTGTTTTTTACTTCTCGCTACCACAATCGGTCTTTCAAATTTAATTATATTTAATTAAGTATACTTGGAGTATATATAAAATCGAAGAAATTCACAAAAATGTCGGATTGATTTAATAAAATTGCGAAACACGAACGATACATTATCGGCGCGCGCGCGCGCGCGACGATTCTAGAACTCTCCTTCGTGGCACGTCCAATCAAAGTCGATCGTGACACAGCGACAACTTCAGAGAACAGCGAGCGAATTGACGAATCCGTGTAGCAACAGCGAATGAGAGTGCGTGAGGGGGTTGGGCGAGGAACGCGGTAGCGTCGGTAGATGAAGCGGAACGGTGTGTCGTGAACGCGGTTCGAGGCTTCTCGCGTCGACGTTTAGTCGACGTTCTTGGCCAAGGGACAAAGGCATTGGCGGTGATCTACGAACGAACGCGAAGTCGGAGGCAGTTACGGACTCCGAAAGTCCGGATAGACACGAGAGAGGGTATTTCACGAGTTTGCGAAATTGCGGCGCGGCAGTGGCGGTCGAACAGGAGCAAAGAAGTGGCGTGGCGAGAAGAGGAGGAGAGTGGTGGGGGCGACGTGGTGCGACGGCACTGATGGCAGTGTGAGGTTGGTCGTGCGCGTCTGTAGCTAGGTATCTGTTTGACGTGCTGGTGTCGTCGCCGAGGTGCATTCGAGATTCGGCGAGCCGTGTGTGCGGCGCGGGTGGCAGTCGCGAGGTCGAGAGAAGCGTGAGGAGAGAAAGGGAGAGAGAGAGAAAGAGTGAGGGAGCGAAAAGAGGGAAGGGTGAGAGAGAGAGAGAGAGAGAGAGAGAGAGAGAGAGAGGGAAAGAGTGAGGGCACAATCAGGAGAAATAATCGACGGCACATAATCCGACGTCTCCGTGAACACGTCCGTCAAGTCCTCCGATGTCTAGTGCTGAGGTGGCGGAGAGCTCCGTTGATCCCCCAGCCAAGAAGCGACGCGTTGGTGCTGCCAGCACGACGGGAGGAGCCGACGACGAGCTGACGACGACGAACGTGGCGGAGATGGACGTAGACATGGCGAAGAACGGCTCCACGAGCTCCAGCAGCGGCAGCGGCGGTACCATGGGCCGGGCGCCCGCCGAGATCGACGAGGGTTTATATTCCAGACAACTCTATGTCCTTGGACACGACGCCATGCGCCGCATGGCGTCCTCGGACGTGCTCATCTCTGGCCTCGGTGGCCTCGGCGTCGAAATCGCCAAGAACGTCATCCTCGGCGGTGTCAAATCCGTCACGCTTCACGATCACGCCGTGTGCAAATTGGCCGATCTAGGCTCGCAGTTTTATCTTACCGAGGCGGACGTAGGTGAGGAACGTATGCGCACCGAGCAATGCCGGTTGAAAACACGTGAGACGCGCCAAAGTCCAAGACAAGCACGCCTATTTTTCATTTCTTTGTGTAGTCAGTGAAAAACACAGATTTAAATTAAAGGGCATATCCAGAAAAAACACAGATTTGAATTCAAGGGCGTAACGTAACGCGTTACAAATCTTTTTTTTTAATTTTTTAGACAATTTTTATGTAAATTAATTCAGTTTTGAACAGTTTATGTAAAATTCCTGATAAAATACTAGACTGCATTAGAATTTTCTTTCTTGCTTTAACCAAACAAGGATATACCTAAATTATTTTAAATTTTGAACTTGTATTCAGTTGTACAAAACTTTGGGAAAGCAAGAAGTCTAAAGAAGAAAAGTATGGTACTGTGTTTCAAAAGGAGTAAAAATTATTTTTTCTATATGGAAATATACTTATAGAGATCTGTTTTCTGTAACTAAAGTAATATACACTTTTGGAACTTAAAGTGAAATAGATATATATTTGGTGTTTGACGAAAACGAAGAAGGAAGTTCTCTAGTGGAGTCTAGTGCAGGAATAAAAAACAGACGTATGTTTTAACTGTACTTTTCCTTATTTTACGTTAAGAATGAAATTCAGTAAAAAATAAATGAAAATTAAAAATTAATTGATTTTAAATATTTATATGAAAAAAGAAAAGGAAATGGAATTTTTTCTTATCATAAATTCAGCTTTAGTTCTTTGTGACAAACTTGAGCAGTTCTAATCTATAGAATGATAAGATTTAAATTGAGATAAGGCGCCTGCACAGCTGTTGCTACTGTCAAGCAAATTATAATTTTGTTGTACCATCTGATTATACTATTACTATTTTTTTTATTATGCATAAAAAATGATCTAAAAGATATAAAATGTGTATGTGTGTGTGTACTATTAGTCATCATGCAAGTCATCATGAATAGTTTGTCTTACAAAATATTGCTGTATACTTTTAGTTCTAAAATTGTTTCGAATTCCAAGATACCAATTAGAATGTATAAGAAAAAAATTTTGTATATTATTAAATACATGAAATTAAATTAATATTATGCATATAATATTGATTATAATGTATATTGAATATTAATTCACAGTTATTAATAATTAGACAAAACTGATTTTTCAAGAATTTTTCTTTATATTATATAAATAATTTATATGCGGATATAAAAAATTTTTATAACAAAAGATATTGAAATTTATAATTAAAAAGTATTTTTATTAACTCGCAATATAAATTTATTGTTTATAAGATGCTGGCATATATTAATATTATCAAAATTAATATAAGGCTACTGTTATAGTTTCACAATGATTTTAATTTAACAATTAATAATAATGCATATAATAGAATTATTGTTTTTTAATTAAAACTACAGATAAACATTTGTTCAATAGGTAAGAATCGTGCAGCAGCGTGTTGTCAACGTCTATCAGAGCTGAACAATTACGTACCTACTCGCCACTACTCCGGCCCATTGAACGAGGCGTATATTCAACAGTTCAAGGTTGTGGTGTTGACGGAAACACCGCTAACCGAGCAGCTACGCATCTCGCAGATTACTCGCGCCAACAATATTGCCCTAATTCTTGCCGATACTCGTGGCCTCTTCTCGCAGGTATTCTGCGATTTTGGTGAGACATTCACAGTGGTGGACACAAATGGCGAACCGCCTGTAAGCGCAATGGTCGCCAGCATCTCCCGCGATAGTGAAGGCGTTGTCACGTGCCTGGATGATACTCGCCATGGTATGGAAGACGGCGACTATGTGACTTTCTCCGAAGTGCAGGGCATGACCGAATTAAATGGATGTGAGCCGACTAAGATCAAAGTGTTGGGACCATACACTTTCAGCATTGGCGATACCTCTAGGTGAAGCATACAGGCATCTTATAAGTATCTTACTAGGATTAGAAAAATCCTGCATTAATTATACCTATGGAAAATTGAGTCGTAATTCAGTAACAAGTTAGATTTTATGTATAACATAGCTTTTAATGTGATGAACAAAAAATATTATAAACACAAGACTTAATAATGAATAGTACTTGAGTTATGCTTTACATCTTTGATAGCAAGAACTATTTATTATTGAATCTTGTGTTTATGACATTTTTTGTTCATTACATTAAAAGCTAATATCATATGTGAAAACTAGTAAACTTGCTTCATCGGGATCCAATTTTCTATATAAGTAGTGCAAAGTGTGTATATTTGTTGGTAAATACGCAAGCTTTGATCGGTCAATTTTTACACTGAGCTTAATAACTTGCCATAAATCTAATCAAACAAATCAAATATCTCCAGGTTCTCCGAGTACGTGCGGAGTGGTATTGTGACGCAGGTGAAGATGCCCAAAATTTTGCACTTTACGCCATTGCAAACTGCCCTGAAGAAACCCGAATTTCTCGTCACAGACTTTGGCAAATTTGATTATCCGGAACAGTTACATCTGGCCTTTCTGGCACTACATCAATACATGGCTGATAGAGGCACATTGCCGCGACCATGGAATCAGTCGGATGCTGACGAGTTTATTGCCATCGCCGAACAAATCAAGGCCAACTACGGTTTTGATACTGAGATTAATGGCGAATTGCTACGCACATTTGCTAAGGTGTCCGGCGGAGATTTGAACCCCATGAACGCTACGATCGGTGGTATTGTCGCCCAAGAGGTAATGAAAGCCTGCTCCGGCAAATTTCATCCTATCTATCAATGGATGTACTTTGACGCCATCGAATGTTTGCCCGTTGATCATTCAGAGCTTACCGAGGAAGATTGCTGTCCCACGGGATCACGTTATGATTCTCAGGTACAATATTGACCGATAATCGAGATTGTAATTTTCTCTTATTTAAAAAAAATTTTAGAAAATTTCAAGAAAATTGGATATTACATTGTGTATTTGTAATAATATAAAATTTGTTAATTTTACACTTTTTTGAATCTGAAAATAAAAGTATAAAATTTTATTGCTGATATATAATCATTAATTCAATTTTCTATTCAGGTGGCTGTTTTCGGCAAGAAATTCCAATCCAAGATCGGCAGCTTGAAATATTTTGTGGTCGGTGCTGGTGCAATTGGTTGTGAATTATTGAAAAACTTTGCGATGATTGGTGTTGGTGCGGAAAATGGTTGTGTCACGGTAACAGACATGGACTTGATCGAGAAGTCCAACTTAAATCGACAGTTTCTGTTTAGACCGTCAGACGTACAACAATCCAAGTCGGCGACAGCGGCCAGAGTAATCAAAGGCATGAATCCTAACATGAATGTAATCGCACACGAGAATCGAGTGTGTCCGGAGACAGAGAAAATCTATAACGATGACTTCTTCGAAGTGCTGGATGGCGTGGCAAACGCGCTCGATAACGTGAGTGCTCGAATTTACATGGATCGTCGTTGCGTATATTACCATAAACCCCTACTGGAATCCGGTACGCTCGGCACTAAGGGCAATACCCAAGTCGTGGTGCCATTCCTCACTGAATCATACAGTTCGTCGCAAGACCCACCGGAAAAGAGCATTCCTATCTGTACGCTCAAGAACTTCCCTAATGCCATCGAACATACTCTGCAATGGGCCCGCGACAACTTTGAAGGCCTGTTCCGTCAATCTGCGGAGAATGCAGCGCAGTACATTTCCGATTCGCAGTTCGTCGATCGGACGCTCAAGCTGCCCGGTGTGCAACCTCTCGAAGTATTGGAATCCGTCAAGACGGCACTAGTTGACGAGAGACCATCAACCTTCACGGATTGTGTGGCATGGGCTCGTTGTCATTGGCAGGAGCAATACAGCAATCAAATCCGTCAACTGTTATTCAATTTCCCACCGGATCAGGTGACTTCGAGTGGTCAGCCCTTCTGGTCCGGCCCGAAACGATGTCCAGAACCATTAATTTTTGATGTCAATGACTCCCTGCATATGGATTACATCATTGCCGCTGCTAATCTCAAGGCCAAAGTGTATGGATTATCCATAACCCGTGATAAAGAAGTGATCACCAGGTATCTTGACTTCGTTAAAGTACCAGATTTCACACCCAAATCCGGTGTGAAGATAGCCGAAACAGATTCACAGGTAAGAAATAAATTAATAAACGCTTTAAATAATCAACGAAAATTGTAAATTATTTAAAATCAGAAATTGAAAATCTTGGAGAGAGGGAATTACAAAATATTAACGATAATATATAATCTAGGGGAAAAAAACCTAAAAATATCTTGAAAATCTCAAAAAATATCAATATTTAAAATATTCCAAGTAAACAATTTGGAACTACTATAATTTTGCAATGTTAAGAGAGAGAAAATTAAAGAGATCGGCTGTGTTTTCAGGTACAAGTGTCTAATGGCAGCGGCAATATCGATCATGAACGACTGTCGCAGCTGCAAGAGGAGCTGCCGAAGACAGAGAATCTGAACGGCCTGGCGATTTACCCGCAAGAATTCGAAAAAGACGACGATAGCAACTTCCACATAGACTTCATTGTCGCGGCGTCCAACTTGCGTGCTACCAATTACAAAATCTCACCGGCGGATCGACACAAGAGCAAACTGATTGCTGGTAAAATCATCCCGGCGATCGCCACTACCACCTCGGTGGTAGCCGGTCTCGTCTGTCTGGAACTTTACAAGTTGACCCGCGGCGTGCGCGACTTGTCGCTGTACAAGAACGGCTTCGTGAATCTGGCGCTGCCATTCTTCGGTTTTAGCGAACCGATCGCCGCTCCTAAGCTCAAGTACTATGACATCGAGTGGACATTATGGGATCGTTTCGAAGTAAAGGGCGAGTTGACATTGAAGGAGTTCCTCGACTACTTTAAAGAACGCCACAATCTGGAAGTGACAATGTTATCGCAAGGCATCTGCATGTTATACTCGTTTTTCATGGCAAAGGCCAAATGTCAGGAGCGTATGGGCCTGCTCATGTCGGAGGTGGTGAAGAAAGTGTCGAAGAAGAAGCTGGAACCACATGTGCGCGCTCTCGTGTTCGAGCTGTGCTGTAACGACGAAGACGGGAACGATGTCGAGGTGCCGTACGTGCGCTATACTCTACCCTGACTCACCCGTGCGGCCCCAGATCGCGCCAGATGATGTCTACTTAACTAAGACACTTAGCCGTACATAGTGATTTCTACAAATTTCTATTTTACGACGATGTAATACATACAGGAGACATTACTGCTGCTGATTCTCGTCTATGAATGCTGTGTGAGGCACTCTTTCTTTCTACATATATATAGAGATTTTTTGTCAAAGATGCGAATTTTCACGCGTTACTACCGCCAGCGCTTAGTAGTAGTGATCTTGAGTAGCAAGTGCGCGCAACAGCGAGGTCGGATTCTTCGTTTCATTTAGGGAATAAAATTCATAGACGAATTCTGTTTCCAAGTTTTCCCGATCGCTACAAATCTTGCCGGATTATGATATCAGAAGCGACAAAATCATACAGATTGTATACTTTCACTATTCAAATTGTCATATATATATATTTTTTTTTTGTTTATAAATATAGAAATATCTAATTTATTTAATTTTTTATGAAACACATTTTATTATGAAATTCTTTTTTTTTTTAATTGATGAACAATCTATAATCTCGAAAGAATAGTAACAAAAAAATAAATTCTTTATATATCATGAACTTGTTATTTAAATTAAATAAATTAACGAGTTATGAATTATAAAAAGTTAGATCTGTGTACGTTTATGCATGTGCACATTTTTCATATTCTCTCTTCGAATTTATATTTTGATGTACGCAAAAATAGATCCCATCTCTCACCTCTCTGATGTCATAATCCGATATACACGATCGCAGAGACGAAGTCGTCGCGGAGTACCGCGTTCACCTTCCGGCTAAATTTAATTCTCGTTTTTCTTCCGGTTGTACCTTATTTTGACCGGTTACTCGTGACGCGTTCCCAACATAATTATAATTCGATTGAAGAAAAGGAAGAAGAAAATTAGAAGCGAAAGCCAAATTTCTATGAAGAGGAGGAAGGAGAGGAGGATCTTTGATGAGATTGTGATTCTTTCGGCTCACTCTACAAATACGCATGTCGCACTGTTCCGTAGAATCCGATGTATAAATCAAACTGGAGAAATTAAACTTTAATTTTATCTTATTAGGTTCCTTAGATCGATGTATTATTAAACTAGTTCCGTAGAGGAACATGTGAATAATCAGCCTCGAGTAGTTGAAGGCAATACGTTTCATTTTTTTCTCTTCTCTTCCCTTTTCTCCTTTTTTTTTTAACTTTCCGCGAAAATGATTGTTTCGACAGAAAGCAAACTACGTGACCAGAGAGGCTCCTGGAGATATACATATTTCTTCATTTACTTTTGTTTTTAATGTACTCACAAAAGATTTGATACGCATTAAGAATTTATATAATCAATATGTTTACACCTGATTTATTTGCTTTGCAACGTCTTTCTCGAATAATGATAATGTAATAGTAATAGCAGTAGTAGTAGTAGTACTAATAATAATAATAATAAGAATAATAATAATAATAAATAAACTATTGGCTAAGGCTGGTTGTTGTTACGACGTATACACTGCATTTAAATTTATAAAAAAATAATCTTTGGAAGAAAGAGAAGCTTCTAAAAAAAAAGAAATGAGAGAAAAGAAGAAAATAAAAATTGCGTACACTTTAGACCAAGGGAGACAACAGATAAACAAACATAAAAGGAAAGATATTTTGTTAATTTTAGGATATATATATAATGCGGATATTTATTATATATATAAATACATAAATATAAATCATTTCGTCGATAGGCAAATAGATGTGTTTGGATTTCAAGAAGTAATGAAATAATGAAAATAAAATAGGAAGTGTACGTCTCGTCGTGTTTTGTGCCATTTTTAAGGCGAACCCATCAGTCCTTTCACCAATCCCGATATGTTCGATTTCTTTTGCGATAAAAAGATGAAAAAGAAATAGAAAACAAATTGCGAAATTGTTTTTCTTTTATTATACGAATTTGCGTAAGGATTTTTTGTATATCTATTACTTCTATTAGAATGCAGTGCTTCAAAATGTTTAAAAAATTTTGTTCAAATTATCGATATTATATTGCATTTTATATATATATATATATATATATATGGATCAAAATATTATTAACAAGGGCTATGAGCCAAAACAATATTTTAATAACATAATAACTATTTTTTCATTACATACATATGGTACATACATAAATATGGATTTACAATTCTGTATTCTTATTTTTTTTAATATTTTATTTATATCGTTCTTTGCGTCAAGCTCTGTGAGTCTATGTGGACAAACCTTAATAAGTGCTGATAGCTTTTTTGTTATCTAACGTCTGACGTCTAACGTCTAATGCATCTGACGAACCGCTGTGGTATGCGACCTAACCTCTTTATGAATCGTGGAAACCAACATGGTGATCGCGATTTGATTCGGGACGAGGACGATTTTTTCAAGAGGTTATCTCAAGCGCAACGCTTATCACGCGCAAAGTCCTTTGGAGTTATACGGAAGTATTGTACGATGGGAGCTAATCATTTAATTTATGCCTGTTCCCTGATTTTGACGTTTTGTCTCTCAGCTGTTTTTTGCGAGATTGAACCGCGTTACGATGAGAAAATTGAACTTTTTGCGACATCGACAGTAAGTACCTATTATACTTCTCTCAGCGATTCTTCAAATCTCACTAAATCTTACAATCGTTCATGATTTGTTGTATATAAAGATCTCATTTACGAGAATTTCATTAAATTAGAAAAGAAACATTCAAAATAAATTCTTTAAATTTTTTTAATTCTAAGAAATATCCAGTCCTAAGATTTTCAAATGAATTTTTAAATGCCGTAAAGGTCCTAAAGCACTCTCCAAGATTAAATTTTATATTACAAAGTTACAAATTTCACAAGTAATTTTGAAATGACATTTTATATATCTGTAAACTTATTTTAAAAATATATAAAATATTTTTAGAAAATGCCAGAGTTTGTGTCCGAGAAGCCACAGGCTGGAATGGGGTTCCTACACGCTTTCGTAGCATCTTTATCGGTCATCGTGGTATCTGAATTAGGAGACAAAACGTTCTTCATTGCCGCTATTATGGCAATGAAGCATCCACGGTTGACTGTATTCATTGGTGCGATAAGCGCTCTTGCATTGATGACCATTCTATCAGGTATTACGTGATAAAATAATATTTAATAGTAATTTTACAGATATTATTAGTTGTATATGTAAAATACATATATCTTGATTCCCTGGAGATCTTTTAAATATCATTGATGTAAGATCAACATTTCAACTGTAATAATGCCTATAATAGTTTATCATAATTTGTAATTTACTCGTATCTGTTGTAAACAACAGTCATAACATTAACATGAAATATCTTTTACTTCCAGTGGTGTTCGGATACGCAGCCACAATAATTCCTCGTGCTTATACCTACTATATCTCTACTCTTCTCTTCGCTTTGTTTGGATTAAAAATGTTACGAGATGGATATTATATGTCGCCAACAGAAGCACAAGAAGAGCTAGAAGAAGTTCAATCTGACTTAAGGAAAAGAGATGACGAGGTAAATTTACAAGTTTTTCCAATTTGTTTCTAAATCATCAGATACAGTACAATTTCTTACACACGCAAAGAATATGCGAAAAAAAATTGTTGCTCAAGTTAGAAAATTAGAATATTATAGAAATATATTAAAATATTAATAAATACTATAATCTTTTTAAGACCGTACAATTGATAAACAATAAAATATTAATGTTTCATTATAATCTTCTTTCCTTTGAAAAGATAGTCAATAATTTCTATAAGAGTTGAAGAATGGAGAAGCAGTTTCATTTTTTTATCTCTCTTTTCTAAATATAAATATCTCTGTTTAATTATACAAAAAATTAAAGAGATACTCCACTGAAAGAATTAATTTCTGGAGTATAATAAAAAATTATTTATCTAAATAGCGTCTAACATTTTTGCAGGAGATTAAATAATCTTTAAAATGTCATCGCTTTCAGTACGAAAAGGAGACGGCGAGTACTTTAGTTCAGGATCCAGAAACCGGTGTAATACGCAAAACTACTAAAAGCAGCGCATTCATGCTACTATCTAGGATATTCTTACAATCATTCACCCTTACCTTTCTTGCGGAATGGGGCGATCGTTCTCAATTAACGACCATTATTCTTGCAGCAAGAGAGGTATCTTAACAATTTTACTGCAACAGTAGAGCATCTTTACATGTAACGGCATTTAATTACGATTTTCAGGATGTTTATGGAGTCGTTCTAGGCGGAATACTTGGGCATTCGTTTTGTACAGGTTTAGCAGTTATAGGAGGGCGCATGATAGCTCAAAGAATATCAGTGAGAACAGGTAATTCAAAATATTTTACTACGTGCATAACACACAATGAATGTAAATTAATTACAATATTAAAAGTTGTCAACAACGTCAATTTCTCGATATTTTTAGTGACCATTATTGGAGGTTTAGTGTTCATATTATTTGCCGTAACAGCGCTCTTCGTCAACCCCGTAGAAAGTGTTTGAGGACAACTCTTCCTTAACTTTACAAATTTCTACCAGTATTGCTTTATGAATGTTGTACATTGTGAGAGTATTGTAAGTTTGTACATAGTGATCTGTTATACTGAGTTTATGCGAAACTACAAAGTTAACTAAGCGCTGGCCAGTTTTAGCCAGTAAGAAATTTGTCTTCTTAATATATATTTTGTTGCACTCGACGTACACACTAACACAACACCCTCCTACGTCCATCCTTCCTCTTTCCGTGAAGTAATACGAAATAGTATTTAATAAGAAATTTATTTCGTATTCTTGTAAAAAGTACGTCGGAGCATGTTGTGTCAGTGTGCATCAAGCACATTTTGGGAGTCGTAACAAAATAAGCTTTTACGTAACTTTAGGCTTACTTTCTAACGTATAGAGATCGATCGTGTCAAAGATCTCTCAGCTTTAAAAGTAACAATACGTAATTAAAAGATCGATCTTCTCCTATCTTGGCTTAATCGATATCCGACAGCACGAATATATGTATATAAGTGCTTAAAAGTATCGATGAAGAACAAAATTTATTTTATAGTTAAATAATCACGCAGATTCTTAATTCTTAAATCTAATTTTTCATTGTCGATCATAAAAAATAAATGCCTCATTGTGAAGTTCCTCTCTAAGACCCCGTTCCATCAATGTAAGATTAATTTTAGTTTAACTTATTGTTTATCTTTTTCTAATTCTTAGAATAATTTTAATTTTTAAAATTAGAAAAGATAAACAGCAAGTTGAACCGAGATTAAAAAAGTTAATCTTACATTGGAGGAACCTAAGTTAAAAAATTATTTTTTTATTATTAAATTGATATTTTGCTAAAAAGGAAAATATTTTTTGTACTAATATATTTGGTAATTGTTTAAATTATTTTTAAATTTATATAAATAAAATAATATAACGAATTCAGTTGGACGCATTAGTGCGCATTAGTACGTATTAACGTCATCGTAAACTGATTTAATTTGTGTAAAAGTAAAATGCAAATATTTCGAGTTGTAAAATACAGACTTGACTTAACAGTATAATAAAATGTTTTAAGAATGTTATGGTTTAATCCGTTTTTAATTTATATAATAAACACATTTTTACAATATTTGTTTACGGCGGTTTTAATGTGCACCAGTGTGTACTTAAGTGCATCCAATCGAATTCACTAATAATAATATTGATGTAGCATTCATAACATAGATTTTTGTAATGCTACATTTTGCCGAATTGAGTACCTAATGTCTGCTTTTGTGCAGATTTTACATTATTCATTACCCAATTGTACTTCATATGAATAAGCTTATTGTCTGTATTATATTTGTATATGCAACTTGTAAGATACTATAGAAAATGTAATATATATGACAGTATATAAGAACTAGATTATATATCGACATATAACACCGTATAAACGAAATTTGACAAAACAAAAGTATGACAAAAAGAAATATTCGTTCGTTTTTTAATCGAACAAAACTTTTACAAATGTGCAATTGTATTATAAAAAATTTTCCCACACCAAACGATGATAAAATACGTACAATTATAATGCAGTAAAATTTATTTTAAAAAATCTATTTTATACTGTTAAAGAAATTTCTTATGTGGAAATATAAACAAATATTGTAAATTAGATAATATAAATACAGAATCGTTACGTATGAATATCGTGTTATATGAATTTTCACAAATTTACTCGAAAAATTACAAACATTTTATAGAAATTAAAATGCACTTTCATGAAATATTGTGTTTTAACATGATATGTTAGACTTGAAATTTATTATATAAGAATCGCAAAACTGAAATCTTTGAAATCCAACTTGATGTTGTCGAATCTGGAGATGCGGTAGTGTCTCGGCGCTAAGCCAGGCGTGCCCGTATTATAGACTTGTTGTAAAGGATAAATGAATTTCCATTCATGCTGTATGTTCATGTTTTATCGAATATATCAGTTTTGTCGAATATAATTTTTATTAGTGCATGTATATACATGAGTTCTATTTACACTACAGAATATAAGTCTTCGGAAATAGCGGTAAGTTCTCAAGTACAGCAACTTCGAGTCGTAAGGTTTTCAGATAATAAAGTAGATTCTATTTTTGCTTTTTATATATTATTAACTACGTTCCCTTTGTTATTTTCTTCTCTGTATCGATAATAGAAAGGTGAATACGCTTTCCACATCAAGCCACAAAAATCTCGTAACTTAAAAATTTTGTAATCACAAGTACTTGTAGCAGTGTTTCAAAAACAGAAAAATTGCAATGTCATTAATGATCATAATTTGTAAATATTATATCGCATATGCGTTTTATTTATAATGTAATAATTAATAATTTAATATACAGTAAAAATTTAATTTTAATAATCGTGCGATTAAATTCGTGTAAATTTTCTGTAAGTATTTCTGTAAACATTGTAATTTTTTTCATGAAACTAATTATTTTATTCTCCCAATTGGTACCAGTCAAATCGCGTAAGACAATTTTTCGACGTAAAATTATCAACATTAGAATTGGTATTCAAAGTATTTCAAACAGACAATATCTTCTTTATTTTATTAATCTTATTAAAGACATAAAATTCTGTTTTTGAGTTATGAGCTTTTTACGGCTCAACGTCGCTTTATTTATTATATCGAGTAATACACATCGAAGTGTCGATGCTAATAACTATTATTTTTTTTTATCCATAAATACTAACTCGAGTTTTGCATCTTATTAGATAGGATAAATCGCTATTATCTTCGCGAAACCTCCTGTCTTTCTATTCATATAAAAAAGGTTGGTATGAAAAAAAATCTATATAATAAATAAATATCTGTCTAATACATAAGCCTCAATAGGCATCGAATCTTTGAATTATATGATATGTATATAATCTCTTGAGAAATATTAAAATTAAAAAGAAACGAAACTTTTATAAGTAATCACCTAAGATCTTTTTATATTTTATTATTAATTATACAGTAATATTTTGTTATACTGCAAAAACCACAAAATCATATTGCTTTCTGTCTAAAATTAATAATACATCACATTGCACATCACATACATTGATCATATCAAATTCATATATTGTCTATCCGTTTGTATTTCTTTTTTTTTTCAAATGCAACTTTCGGAGATCAGATAATACGGAAGTATAGATAATATTTTGAAGAATGATATATTATCATTCTAAAAATTATTTTAATATCTCTTTGCGAGACTCTTATTTTACTATCTTTTTACTAGACTATTTGTACCTCGTCGACTAAAACTATGCTCTGTGCCAATAATTTTCTTCAAGAACGACGTAGAAATCGCCAGATACGTATACCATGGATGAGATGGATTTATTTATTATATTTTTTCTCGATAACATTTCGTTTGTCATATCGACAAAGTTATTTTGATCGCTGCGGAGGGAGGTTTTGCGAAAACGACGACGATATAGTAATTATGAATCTAATTGAGTTCAAGTGGAACAAATTTATTTAGAAAACAGCGTAAAAAAATACTAAGTTAAACAATATAAAATTAAATCATACTACGACGTAAGTGACGCTCGAATCGTGTAAGTTTCGTATACTTATACATGTACTATTATATGATCGACTTTACATAATTAGTAACATTATTATTAACTATACATAAATGTTGTGTGGAAGAAACAAAACATCATTAGCATGCGCGCATCGTCGTTACATTATGGGAAATGTAACATTGCTACAATTAGAATGCAGGGTCGTTATGATGTTCGATGTAGCACGTATCTGATGGTGCAGCTACAGTATTTTCTATGATTCGCGATCGCTAAAGTCTTTTGCTAATTATGCAAATCATTTAAATTAATTTACTCAGAGCAAGTAATTGAATGTCTTGAAGAAATCGGAGATTCGTACGCAAAGCGATTAATGATTCATCTTAATGAAAAATCAGCGATGGAGAATGTCATAGGATTAAACATTTCGAAAGACGTGAATAAATAAGTCGGACAAATATGCATCATCTTACACATACATGTATATATGTATCGTGTGTGCTCCGCTTACCTAATTAATAAACTTATGCTGGATCATTCATGGTGGATTCGGCTGGGAGGAGGTCATTCTACTTTGTGCTTCAAGGGCTCGAAGTTTCTCGAGCCTATACATTGGATCCATCAAATTCTTCTCAACAGCAACCGTGGCTGAAGACTCGGTAGTTTCTGTATCATTTATTTTGCATATGACTAAATATATATAATTAAAGACAACGTTATTTTGTGCATGATTACATTGCGTGTGAAACGGATTCCAAAGTTTGAACGAAGTTCGCAGATTTTCATGTAGTTTTAATTTTATTTCATATATCTGTATTAAACCAACACGATAAGAGTAAGTCCTTTTGTTAATATCAACTATTTTACGTTACTTACCCATAGAGTATTGATTGTTAGCTTGCGACAAAATGGTCTGATTTTTTCGCGCCTGGTCGATCTCCCTTAGTCCCTGTTCTATAAAGTCTTGGAAGAATTGGTGAGATTTGACCAGAAATGGTTGCACATCAGCTTCCGGATATTGAAGTTTGAAATCATATAACTGTACTAGGCCCTACAAAGTTACGATGAAATGATTAAAAATATACTTTAAATTGTAAAAGCGCCCTTAAGAACCTCACAGAAATATACATATAAGAACAAGACAAGGCATTTTAAAGTACGTAATAAATAAAAAAAAAAACTAATAATTTTCGCGCGGTTTCAAAGACTACATAAGTAATATATAAATTCACACAAAATTATAATAGCAGATCCAGCTCGATTTTTAAAGGCAATTTCTCATTGGTTGTGTTTCTAATAATTTTCGCAAATATTTAATAATTTTCACAACTGGAATATTTTGTTTTATTTAAAAAACAAGATTTTTTTGAGTTGCACATAAATACGTACCTCTTGAATATGCTCTTTTGATCCAATTTTCTTGAATATTTCTGCTAATTGCTGACGAGTAGACTTTGACAAATGTTTTGGCGTCCTTCCTACATTATTTGGTTTTGGTGTCATTTTTGATGCATTAATCTCATCTGGCTTAAGACTCTATTGCAATAAATATCATTATTTCCTAATGTATACAATTTTATATATATATATATATATAAATAAAATATATATATATAAAATTGTACACATCATATACATATAGTATATATATATAGCTACGTTTAATATATGTATATATAAAATTATATTTAATATACTTAAAAAACAATGCATATATAAAACACAACTAACCGCAATTAATCTTATTAAGTAAGCGTGTAATTCAGATTCATTCGTATTATTTATTAGTGTCAAATGATTAAGTATCGAACTGCCTTTCACCCTGGTCATACTGTGAAGAACCGTTTTGACTGTCCGTAGCGGAGTATCGGACTTCCGTTTCTTCCACCACGTAGTAGGATAATCCTACATACAAAAAGATAAAAATATATATATTTATAGTACATACAAAATATTATCGTACTGAAAGATTAAGATACTGATGTAAAATGCAATAAAAACAAATAATTTTAACATTTATTTAC